TGGCTGTAGTGTACAGTAACCTTCGTGTCTGAGGTGGGGCCTGCTAACCTTTGTGACACAGAATCTTTCCTCTGGCAGACTACAGAGGTGATTTGCTTTGTTTTCTAGGCTTTCGTTCCCAGTGAAGATGTTGCACTATCTTCCACTGTTGAGCACTGTTAACTATTGAAAATACCCTCTACTTTATGAGTCGCGTGACCTGAATCCCTGCCATCCTGTGGTTTGCAGCTTTAGTCCTGTTAATGATAGCTTCCTTGTGCAGCAAGTTTCATGTTGCCCAGTGTGTGTGTCTCAACATTGCTGTGGTGTCTGCACATAGCCTCATTATCTGTCCTTTCCTTATTTGTTCCGCTTGCGCCTCTTTAGCTGGGTCATGCATTGGCTGAGTCACAGGGTTATAGTGTCCCTTAATCTGCATCCCAAGGTTGTGTAAGTTTTTTTTTTTTTTTTTAGGATTTATAGCACGTTGCTCATGTGTTTGTTTTGCAGTACTGGAAATTAAACCCACGGAGTGCTGAGCTCCAGCTCCAGCCCTTTTCATTTTATTACTTTTTGAGACAGGGTCTTGCTAAATTGCTAGGGCTGGCTTTGAACATGAGACCCTTCTGCCTCGGCCTGCTGGGATTACAAGGGTGGACCACACGCAGCTCCACACACTGCTTGTGTGCCACTGTAGACTTTTATTTCTGACTCGACATAGCTATTGGGCTGTAAATTTAACTCATTTTTTTCCTGGATTGTTTGTATATAAGATATCTCCTGAAACAATAGACTTTCCTCTGAAAAAATGGTGAATAATTTACAGAGGAGAAATTCCATTTGTGTTTTTAACTTGTGAAAAATCACCTCAATCTATAAATGCAGATGTAGCTTTGCCCGAATCTGTGTCCACATGATTCTGTGTCACTGAGCACAGCTCCTCCTGGGCTTGCAGCAGGACATTCCGAGTGCTAACCTCATCCTGTTTCGTGTGCTCGTCCCACGTGTGGCCTTTGGTGTGGGAGAGAGAAGCTCTGTGACCTTTTCTCTGGGTGCTTCTGATATCCAGATGAGACCTAGTAGCATTCATTGTCCTCTTGGGGACAACCGGGATTATGGCCATAAAGATCTCAGGTGGCATTTCTGGTTGCACACAGAAGCCTTTCACATGTTGTGCCTTTGTTGTAGCCGTGACTTTATCCCCCTGTAGCTCATTCTTACACTGTGCAGCCCCTGTTTTGAGACGAGCACACACTGTCATGGTACCACCTACACTGCCATTTATTCCATCAATTTGGATGGCTTGTGCTGCTCTTGGCTCTGCACCCGCAAAAACAAAACCATGGCATAAAGCAGCCTGGATCATGTAATGAAAGCCTTGTACCTTTTTGGAGGCTTGGTAGAGAGAAATGATTTATTTTTGCTTTACCAAATAAAACATTCTAGGAATCCAAGGTGAAAATTGGATTTTAACTGCTACTAACATTTTAAGCATATAAAATCTGCAAGTGTTGAGTGTTTTGCTTGATTAAGAGAAGAACCTAAGGAGTTTGGTACAAGAAAGATCCACAAATGATGTGGACTGGTGTCTCACATAAACCTGACTGATTTATAAAGCTGGAATAAATGTGAAGCACACTTTGACAGCAGGATTGCAATAGTGGGAAGCTTTATGTTTTTATTTTGTTCCTGGTTTTATACCTGGGTCGTTGTCCTCCTTTCTCCTTCCATCTTTGATTTTTCAAGAGCAGGTCTTCTGTGATGAAGCTCAAAGAGTCTGGAACTGTCTGGAGTCAGGATGTTTGTTGTCATGTTGATTCTCTCTCACCCTCTCCCTCTTTCGCCTTCTGTGCTGTGTGTGTGTTTCTCCCTTCGACATCCTGTCTACCTCTTCAGCGTGTTGTTTGGTCCAGTCTTCCTGCCAAGCCTGAGCCTCTTTCCCAGTGCCACCAGCCCTGGGGCTCTTCTTATAGGCAGTGCTGTCGCAGGGTGGGAACTGTCACAGACGGGCGTCCCTGTGGCAGTGTCTCGGTGTCTGTGCACAGCTGTCCCTGGGTGGATGTTTATCCTTCTGCATGGTTTTGTAGGAGACGCTCCTGATTCCTCTCAAGGAAAGCATGCCATGTAACTGCACATATGCCTAAGCGTGGGTCTCACTAACTTTCGCTGTCAAGATGTCCTTAACACTGACCATTACTTCAGGGAAATCTATTTGTCCAGTAGAGCCATTTGCCATGGAATCTGGTACTTTCTAGTGGGCAGATAGATGAGCCTCTTTGACCGACAGAGCACCCACAACTCATTTGCCTCCTATCTGTTGGGGGGATCTGAGAGACAGGACAGATCCCACACAGAGCATCTGGAACAGGAATTTTTACCTCTAACAACAATAATAATGGTGATTATAGCTTAGCACTTACCTGTCAGGCATAATGTGCAGTATCATACATGTGATGTACCCTACACTTTTTAAGGCCCTAATAGAAAGGTCCCTTATGCAGTCTGTGTTACAGATAAGAAATAAACTATGATACTGTACATGTGAAGTCCCATGTGGAATTCATACCATGCCCCCTCTATCTCTTGAGTCACAATTTTTAGCCGCTATTATGTATTCCTTTTGGAGAACACTTAGCATCATCAAAGATCATAAAAATCATGAAAACCTGAAGACTTCACAGCTACTATGCAAGTAAAGCTCTGTTAACTGTGCTGGGCCTTTTTTTAGTATGACTTCGTTTTATGATTTGGAGGTGTAGTCACTTGAAGCCTCAGTCAGATTGCTGCAGTCCTGAGCCTGTCAGGAAGGAGATGCTGTTCCTGGAGGTTAGGGTTGGGGTTAAGATTGGGATTTGGGGTTAGGGGTTAGGGTTAGGCCTGCCGCAGAGGCCAGATACGATTCCTACTACCTGCACGCCTTCTTCAGGATCACACCTGCCTGGACTTTGTGGCACTGTGTACTATTGTGTAGCCTGGGGTCTGAGTCTGACTTCTACTGGCTTTTCACATGGTGGCTGCTCTCTCAAATCGACTGTAGCTGGTTTGGTCCTGAGGCCATTTCATTCATCCTTTCCTTCTTTCACTCAGCATTTTTTGGGTGTTTGTAAAGTGTACTATACATTACGATATAAGATAGATAAGTTACATATGCATGCAACTAAAATGCATTGCAGAGGCAGTGGGACTTGCAGAAAGAATGCTGGAGTAGAGAGGAGATAACCCTTGAAACTCATGAGCTGAGGTGCTTTTTAGATCTGGGACTCGTAGGATAAGTAGTTCCTGGGACAGAACAAAGGAGGGGACATTCCAAGGAGAGGAAAGAGGTACTAAAAGACCTGGCTTTTTCTGACCCTGAACAGTCCTGTGGTGTCCGGAAATACGGATAGAGGGAGATGGAAGGGGACAAGAGATTGCTTCAGGTGGGCAAGGACCCCACGTGTCATGGTGGGGAGTGGATAATGTTCAGGCAGTGAAGAGCCACTGGGGATTTTTGTTCAGTTGAATGATGTTGTGAGATTTGTCTTTGAAAAGACGACTGTGGAGACCCTTTGGAGGCTTTTGTAGAGGTACATTGAGGAGAAGGACCCTTAGGTGTTCTGCACTTGTGCACAACATAAAAGGTGTGTGGTGGGGGCTTTGCCTGCCTAGGAGGGATGGAGATTCAGGTAGGCCTCTGGATCCATTCACAGAGCAGCACGGGTCTTCTGGGCCCTTCCTCACCCTACTGAGTTGGTCTGTCTTGACGCTTCTGCCTCTCTACCTCATCTGACCTCTCCTGGTTAACTGGGAATCCTTTCCTCGTCTTGCTAGTGTTTGACAGTGGTGGTGTTGTAGTTCTGCCAGCTCAGGCTGGTCTTGCTTGACCCTGCCGGCACCTTTCTAGCTTGGCTGACCTTCTTGGTCAGACTGCTTGGCTCTTGGAGTCTTTGACTCGGTCAGACCTAGTCTGGTTCAGCTGATGATCATTTCTTGTATTGTCCTGTCCTTTTTTTGTCCTGGGGGTTATAAGAAAACCAGAAGCCTCTTGTAGGTGAGTCCTGTGTCATTTTCTGGTTTTACACACACCACGTCCTTACAGCTCTGTTCCCTGATAATCCACAAGAGAGATGTAACAGAGAGTTACAACTAAAATTTAAAGTTTATGTTGAGGGCTGGTGGTATTGCTCAGCCTAGCATAGGAGCAAGGCCCTAGGTTTGATCCCTAGCCCTGAAAAAAGAGCATATATTGATTTTTTTTTTATTGAGTTTATTGGTACATTTAGGGATACAGTACAGTTACATACATATTGAAGATATACTCCTAAGTGAAATAAATAAGTCCCACATGTGTAAATACCAAATAGTTTCCCTGGTGTGAATATTCTGCAACAATGCATAAGATTCTAATAAGATTACTGACATTTAGAAATGGGAGGAAAGGAGCTAAAGGTGTAGGGAAGGTGTGATACGTAGGGGAAGAACAAAAAGGGAAAAGAAAAAAATGTGAGAGAATGAAAAGATGAAAATAAAGTGTTTGTAGATGGGGAGGGGAGGAGGGGGTGAAGGGAGGGCAGAGGTAAGGGGAAAAAAATGAGAATCAAGACTTGCCATGTAAAGGTACATGATCCCAACTGGATAAAGAAGATGTGGTTTTTCTATAAAATGGAATATTACTCAGCCATAAAGAGCGAGAGAATAGATTCATTCATAGGAAAATGGATACATATTGATTTTTTAAATTATGAGGTTCTTAGTGGGGAAAAAGACATTGGAAGCTCTGGTTTTATAAAGTACTCTGAGCAGTGACCAACTCTCATAAGACTTTATACCAAGGAGCTCTTATTTGGAATTTGCTTGTTCATTTCAATGTTGCATTGATCCTGCCCTGGTATTTAGTTTCAGTTTTATAGTTGTGTTTTTCCTCTGTAATTGTGTTGATAACAAGGGAAAGGCTTTCTAATGTGACTGTAAATGCAGCAGTTCTCTCGAGCAGAGCAGCCTGCGTTCAATTAACCTTCATATTTCACACCTCATCACTGCAGTGTGGCAAAGCGCTCCCCGGCCTTTCAAAGCAAGAGGACTGCTGTGGAACTGTGGGTACCTCCTGGGGCTTTAACAAGTGCCAGAAATGCCCCAAGAAGCCAGGTGAGTAATGTTTCATCATTCCTTCAATGGCTAATGGGTATATCTGTTTTCTTAGCAGTTACTCTCTCATTGTATTTTAGAACATAGTGCTATAATATGCATTTCCAGAAACCTTCCAAGTCAAGTAAAGTTTTTGTATCAGTTCTTTTTTTTTTTTTAATGAGAAAAATTATCAGTTGCTTTCTCCAGTTGAACTACTTATGGGGGAAAAGTCCTTTTAGAAGTGATAAGCTAAAATAGGCTCCTTTTTCTTAGAAGAGAAAATTAAGTACGCTTTAAGGTAGTAAAGCAGTGTTTCAAATCCTATGAGAAGTCAGTGCAGTTACTATTTCTTAGGTAAAGTTCCTTAAATGAAAACTTTACTAATATCCACAGTTTATTGAATATACTAGGATAAGGATTGTATGTGATTTCAGATTTCATGAAAAGAGAGACTAAAATGAGTAATGATTGGCTACTGATTTGTAAAAAAGCCTTTGTAATTCCGGGACATCCACCGGTTTCCTTAGTACCACTTCTGTATTGTCAGTTCTCAGTGACTGTATTTGCACCTACATGCTGTGATTGTCTTTAAAGTGTTTTGCAGAAACTATTGACTTGGCTCTCTTTTCTACTATTCTCTTCCCAACAGTTCTTCCCAACAGTTGTTTGTATTTTGAGTTTTTGGGTGTAGTGTTAACTTTCAGTAACTGATTTCTAAGGAATACCTCTCAGAAAGTCAGAGGTAATTTGTTTTAAATTGAGCTTTCTTACATTTTGTCATCTTTCAAGAGAACAAATGATACTTTTCTTAGTCATCTACCTTTGCCTAATATAGCTAAAGATTTTTATAGCTGGTGGCTGCAAGAAATTTTTCAGTTGCTTCACTTGAATACTTTTTATTTTCTTAAATATCCATGGATTGGATTGCTGCTCAACTGCCCGTCCCCCCCTGCACCCTCTTTGGAGACAGGGTGTCACTATGTAGTTTAGGCCAGCCTTGAACTCACTATGTAGTCCAGGCTGGTTTCAAACTCGCAGTGATCCTCCTGCACCACCACTCCTGGCTTCAGCTGCCTTTGAAACCTCTGCTCAGTCTGAAATCTGCACCCTGGAATTACCACTCTATATTTTCTTGCTTTTATACTGTTTGTTCTTCCAGCATAATAATTGATGTTCAATTATTGTCTCTCATTTGGACTTCCATATTTCTCAGATTTATATTTCTGTATTCAGAAAGCTATCTTCATTTATTTTGTCAACGCCACTTTGGATTTCTTTTAGAAAACTTATTTGTGAAAATAACCATGACAGTTTCAGAAAATTAGTGAATTCTTCATTTAGGAAAAAGTTCACATAACGATATTCAGTAGTGAAAGTATCTCACGTAGTCTTTCTGAGCTGATTGGGTATGGATTAACACTGCAAGTAAATTGATCGGTGATGGTCTCTCCTGATTGGAAGATCCATTTGCTTTAAATTATTTTGGCTCTTTGACCAAAGGGATATCTAGGACCCATTTGAATTGATTTAGAGAGTGTGGTGTTTAGCATTAGGGTAGACTGAATTTAACTTCCAGCTCTTCCATTTGCAATTGATTCACATGAGTCATTAGACAGAAATCTCTAGGTAAGTGTTGAAAAAGCATTGCCTTCTTAAAAAAGAAAACAACTGCCTGCCATGCACTGAACACACACCCGTACGCTTGTGTGTCAGACAGGCTGAGAGAAGTTAGATTCTTTTAACTTTGGGGACTAAGTTTACATTTCCTACTTTTTTCTTCATCTTTTCTCTTACTTTTTATTTGTCCCCTTTGTGGTGTATCTTTTGATTAGCTGCTTCCCTTTCCTCCTTTTTCTAAACCCAAAGTAGTAGAAAGTGATATTCCTTAGGGGTAAAGGAACTTAAACCATCTTTCTCTCTCCCTTTTAATCCTTAACGTCCATTCCTGACCTTTTGTCCTTTTTATCTCGAAGTTCGTCATCGGAGGATGGATTCACAGCTTTATGTGCTTTTATTAGCACTATATTTTAATCTTCATAATGACTTCAGTTGAATATGAAAGTACAGATTTACTGTTACTTTTAACTAAGTGTTGATGAAATTACATTCCTATATTGGCTCATTTAGTGTATAAAATGGAAGAGAATGGCTGTGTTTCAGGAAGGGCAGTGTGGGTTGCGCACAAACTATTAACACCTTGACGTTTATTCTGTCTGTGACCCCCGAGAAACACACATGTGGTCATATTTATTCTTCCCGTGTCACTTAAAAACAAAACAAACAACAACAACAAAACCCTTTTCTTTCCTACTCTGTAAAGCATATTCATTTTGGAAGAGAGTAGACCCCCCCGTTAGCTTTATGTGCCGTGGTTTTTCTCTTCCATGCCTTTTTATTTCATTTTACGATTTTACTCATTGTAGTTCAAACTTTGGTTTTCAAGTAGCTTTTATTTAATGTTTGAAATTTTTATTTGGCCACGTACAGAAAGACCTTTCACTGCTGATCATTTATTGCTGTGAAAACTTAATTTTAGATGTGCACATGATTTCATGAACAGGTCTGTAATCTGTTAGAGATATGCTTACTGTGAACAAGTCACTTGTCCTTTAAAAAGTTTCAGAAGAAAATTAACATGGAATCCTAAACTGGAGAGGGCTTTTAGAGATCATCCGGTCTGGTTCTCTGCCTTAAAGTAGATAACTGCTGAGATTTCTAAAACAAGCTATTATCTCTTTTATCTTGGGAGAATTCACAGACAAGTGATCCACAGCCTCTGTAGGCGACCTGCTGCAGTACCTTTGTTCTGTGTGACAAGACAACGTGAGCCCACAGGGTTGGACGGGGTGTCTCCCACATGCCAACGTCTCCCCTCTGCAGTGCATCATTCCTGGAAGCGAATCAGGGAGAAATAGATCCCTGACTTCTATTTTCAGAAAACAGAATTATTTAATCACTAAATGGGAGAAAATATAAAATCTTATGATTTCGTTAACACAATAATGACTTATTGGCAACTTACTAGGCTGCTGTCCATTGCTAAATATAAAGTACACTGTAACAAGCACAATGTGAAAGAAATCTCAGAGTTCCACATTGCCATTGTTGTCTTATGAGTACATGCACTGATACCTCATGGGTCTTTGGTTACCACGTCTAGCAATGTAGAACTACAAGAATTTGAACAAAACATGTAACAAAGAATTATTTCTTCCCTTACAGCTTATCATGGATATAATCAAATGATGGAATGCCTGCAAGGTTATAAGCGGGTTAACAACACCTTTTGTCAAGGTAAGGTTAACCGATTCCATTGGTATGGACTCAGCAGTTGTTGTCTCTCTTCAGAGATTTGAGTTGTTTCTCCATGAGTTGCTTGGGAGCCCAGCATGTGAAGGTTACACAGGGAAGTACCTCTGGCTCCCTCTGGTTCGCTAAAGGAGTGTAGATGTTAAAGGTGTGGTTGCTGGATTGCTGCACTACTGTTGAAACTTGATGAGGCCCTTTAACTTTCTATTAACCTGTGATAAAATCTGCACGTGCTAGGGTGACATGGCGAGCACCCTGTGGCTGCTGTGCTGTTGCTCTGTTTTGGTGCAGAGTTGAGAGCACACCCATGTGTCTAGCAGGGCACTGCTTTCCTGACATACAGTTGGGCAACAGAGTTCCTTTGCTCTTTTGCCAAAGCATTCCTGGCCAACTGGAAGTGTTCACGTACCGAATATCAGAGTGAACACACTTTTCCCAGGTATCAGGAAAGCTGTAAAATTAAATATGAAATGTCCTGAGTACTTTCGTAAATTTATTTTGAATACTAGTGTAGAACTGCACAAACAGGGGAAGCCTCAGAATTCGTCTGATCTTGTGTTTATTATACTTTATAAAAGAGGAAACGGAAGCCCACAGAGGTTAAATCACTTCCACGTGGTTGCATCGAGCTGAGTTTGGAACTCGGGCTTACCAGTGCCTAGGTTAGTACCATATTATCAGATTTTGTTTTAGTTACTTCATGGAATATGCAGTTAATTAATGTTCCTAATTTTTCTTCACACGTGTAGGCTAAAGGTGTTATTAGTAATGTGGGTATTTATGCAAGAACATGGCACATGTCTTCTGCCTTGTGGTCTGGGGCCCGGTATTCTTCTCCAGCTTGTGCTGATAGAAGAAGATGAAATTTACGTTAGGGTGTAGTGCAACCTGCTCCTAAAATGGTCTGTGTCACTGGTACAACTGCTGTGGAAATCAGTGTGGAGACTTCTCAAAAAGCTAAAGATAGGAATTTCATTAAACCCAGCTGTTCCTCTTCTAGGTATCTTCCCGAAAGAGTTAAAGACATCGTACTACAGTGATACATTCATACCGTTGTTTATAGTGGCACAGTTCATAATAGCTAAATCTTGGAAACAACCTCTATGTCCATAAACAGGTGAATGGATTAAAAATGTGGTATTTACACATAATGGAATACTATCCTGCCATAAAGACAAACGAGTCATTTGTAGGACAGTGGATGTATTTTGAGATCATAATGCTAAGTGCAGTCAGACACACAAGCTTCAGTGTTGCATGGCTTCTCTTATATAAATATAAATAAAGAGCAAAATAAGAGATCGTTAATAGGAAAAAAGGAAGTTAGATCTTTAGCAAAGGGAAGGGAGCCAAGAGATGGAGGGAAGAAGTGTGAAGAGGAAGGAGGCAAAGGAGATGGAAAAAGAGAATTACGGTGTCTTATGTACACACGCCTGCTCTCCACAAGGAATATAATCATTATAGACTGCACACATGTAGCAAAAAGTCGTGAAAAATAAAGTCAAAGGGGTATCTTAGTTACCTGAGAATTTTCTCGAGTGAACTGTTGATCCCTTAGTCGGTGTGACTTTTATGATGTATGGCGTCTCTGCTGGCTTAAAGAAATGGCACAAGTATGCTGTGTCTCAGAGGCACAGGGTTTGGCCTATAAATGTGAGAAGCCCTCATCATATGTGAAAGGAGAGAGTTAACTCCTTAGCTCTTGGAGAGGACTCTCATGACACTTTTTGAGAAACACCTGCAAACCTTAGTAACAAGGGGGCAATGGATTAGTCTGCATTGTTCAGAATCACCTGACTATAAGAAATCACTGAATGAGGCTGAAGATTTAGCTCAGTGGTTCCACTGCCTGCCTTGCAAGTGCAAGGTCCCAAGTTCTATCCATGGTGTTAAAAAAAAAAAAGAAAGAAAGAAACATGGAATGAAGTTAAATGGATAGACCAATCAATGGATAGGTAAATTAACAAATAGATGGCTTGAATGTTATTGTTTAATAGATTGATATAAAAACCTCTTTAAGAAGCCTTAGCACATTTCTGAGATACATTAGCAGAGGCATAATGACCAGGACTGTGGAAATTACAGCCTTGCTGACAGTCCATCAGATGGCATTTGTGGTTTGGGTGTTCAATGTCATTATTTCTTGTTTAATAAGGTCAATAGAGCTTATGGGGGACCTGGAGACACAGGCACTTAGCCCAGAGAAGTGCAGACTAAAAAAAAAAAAAAAATACAGCAGCTCCTCATAGACGCAGCTTTGTAAGCATGCCTTTACATATATTAGTTGTCCTACAAAACAAGACTATGAGTTTTTTCAAAAGCCAGAGTCAGTAAGGTGGAGTTATATGGAGGCACATTTACAGGAGCTACAAGAGACCTCTTCTGTGGAATCGAGGTCCCTTTCCCTGTAATGAAAAGTGCTGAGCTTCCTGCCCACAGAGATAATCTGACAGAGGCTGCACAGCTCTTGTCAGGGGCGCTGTCTGGTGTCTCTGTCCTGTGCAGTACAGAGGGTAGAAGACCGTGTGGGTGCGTTCCGGTTCCGTCATGCTGTCCGTACACTTTGTGCCAGGGCTGTACTTGAGGAAATGACAGCCGTCACACAAGTTTTAGCTTCTGAAGGCCTCCTTTGCAGAAGTGTCCCCCAGGCCTGTGCGGTCTCTCTTTGTTGAACTGCAGGATTCAGGAGTGTCCTTATTCATCCTTCACTGTTCTCTGGGTAACCCCGAGAGCTTGCTCCCAAGCGTCAGGTGCTCTTGGATTCTCTCACTGTCAAAGGATAGAGAATATGCATGTGTCCTTTTGCTAGATGGTGTTTCTATGTACCTGTTTACTGTTTGTTTCTTGTAGATCTCTGAAGACAGAATATCCTTCTCTCTCCCAAAATGGGCATGGAAGTGTGTAAATCCCAGCACTGTGCGTGTCAGGCAGGAGGATGGTGTGTTTGAGCCTAGCCTGAGCTACATGAGTTTAAGGCCAGCCTGAACTACATAGGACAACCCTGTCTATTTTTTTTTTTTACAGTACTAGGGTTTGAACTCAGGGCCTTGTGCATTCTGGGCCAGCACTGTACTGATGAGCTGCATTTTCAGCTCGAACCTATCTCAAAAAATATTTTTAAAAAAAAATCACAGAAAGCAGAGAAAAACCCTGTTCTTTATTAGAGTGCTTTGCGCTGTTATTTGTTCCTTGTGTATTTGGAATAATTCACTGAAGAAGGTATTTGGTCCTGAAGCTTTCTTGGTGGAAAGTGTCTTAATTATGGATTAAATTTCTTTGATACTACAAGGATTATTCAGATTTTCCATTACCTCTCTCTGTCAGTTTTGATAACATTTTTTTTTGCATTAGAAATGATCATCTAAAGTTTTAGATTAATTCATATGAAGTTTGTTAATATGCTTTTGCTGTCTTTATAGCATCTCTAATTTATGTAATGTTTCCTCTCCCCAGTAGTTGATACTGGTTCTTTTGTGCCGCTTACTTGCCCGCTTTCCCTCCTCTCCCTGCTCCTCTCTCTTTGCATTTTCTTTCCCTCCCTCCCTCCCTCCCTTCCTCCCTCCCTTCCTAACGCTTGCCAGTAGTTTATCAGTTTTAACAGTGTTTTAAAGAGTGTATTTTCGTCTTTGTTGAAAACATTTCTTGGGCTGGGGATTTAGCTTAGCGGTTCAGTGGCCTGCCTTGCAATTACAAGGACCCGAGTTCAATCCCCTGGTACCAAAAAGAAAAAGAAAACATTTCTTATCTGTTTCCCTACTTTCTGCTCTTTGTCTTCTTTTTATTTTTATCGACTTTCTGTTCATTTTGCTGCTGTTTCCTAATTTCTTTAGGTATCTTGGATTGTTGGTATCAGCCTTTCTTCCTTTCTAGTGCATAAGTTTAAAACTTTAAATTCCTGATCAGTCTAGGTTCTGACTTTAACTGTATCCTTCAATTTGGTGTCATTTTTATCATCTTTAAGTTCAATTATTTTAAAATTTGGACTCCTTTTTTGACACAAGTTATCTAGAAATGTATCACTAAATATCTAAATATTTGTGAAAATTTTCTTTTTTGTTGTTGAGCAAGAGTATTAAAATCTCTGTAGAATTTTTTCCTTTTATATCTGCAGAACTTTAATCTGTTTTTATGTTTGCAATGTGTAGACAACATACACTTGAGGGTTGCTTTTTTTCCTTTTACATTGTGACATTTAAGCCTCTTAATTGGAGTGTTTATTACATTAAAAATCTAATGTAGTCATTGGTGTGGTTGGATTCAGTCTACCTAAAACCTTTTGGTTGTTCTTCTGTTTGTCCTTCATCCTCTCTTTTGGATTGTTTGAACATTTCTTTCTTTTTTTTTTTTTTAATTCTGTTTTATTGGTTGGCTTCTTTTAAAACCAGTATCTTTCTGCATTACGTTATTTTTCTAGGAATTGTAATGTACATCTTTAATTTTTCACAGTTTACTTAGAGGTAACATAGTACCACTTCAGAAAAGTGAAGAAACCTTGCTACCAAACAAGTCTGCATCTTGATCTGGGCTTGGGGCTTAGACTTCTGCTCCTGTGCGAGTCTGGCAGACCGCGTTAGGATCACTTCCTAGTTTCTGTTGAGATCATCTGTTTATATTGTATATTAGCATTTGTTTACATCCCTCTTTTCTTGATGGGCTATGACCTCTCAAATGTCAAGTGTCCAACCTTACATTTGTGAACTCAGAGCCCAGAACTCATAATGGATTTAAAGAAAGTGATATGAATTAAGAAATAGTTTATTTCTTATTGATGAGAGGCTTACAGTAACTAATGGGTCAAGTACCAGTGACCTATAGATAGAGCCAAGATATTTTTGGTGATTCATCACAAATTGGGTGTCTGCGTACAAAAAAGTCCATCAGTTTATAAAGTGGTCAATAAGGAACTGATTACCTCGACCATTAAATTAATTGGAATTTAATAACTAAGTTTATTATATGCCAGATGCTTCACATAATAAACAGTT